CCCCGCGCGCAGACTACCAGCGTTTGTCGGGGAGTTCATAGCGACAGCATTCCGGACGCCGCACGTGCAACAACGTGCTTCTACTTGCCGCGGGTCTCAGGAAAGCTACGAAAACTATTATTATATGCCCATCTTTACGCATGTGTTTCGCGGTCTCTCGCATTCTAGAAACCCCGCTGGACTGCAGCTGCCTCGGCTGGTTACTGAGTAAGCCGTTCGACGTCCACGGACTTTGCCACGCGCCGGCAGACGTGGCAGGAGAGTCGCTTGGAACCCTTGACCCTTCCGACCTTCACTGCCCGGCGGGAAGACGCCAGATCGTACACTAAGGCGACGCATCTCATGATATTGTCGGCTACCAACGGATTTACGACTACGGAGTTGCCCCTCTTACTGGCCACAGCTTATATACGCACGTTTAAGAATGAGCCGAAGTCCTGTTACACTAACAACAATCACTTAATCACTTGCGGCTACCAACCGATACTTCTTGCAGTCGAGCGTATGGAACCATTTAGTAGATTTAGTAGATTTAGTAGATTTAGTNACATACAAAGGGTCCGCAGCATCTCACCTTCCCCCCGCGCAGACTACCAGCGTTTGTCAGGGAGTTCATAGCGAGAGCATTCCGGACGCCGCACGTGCAACAACGTGCTTCTACTTGCCACGGGTCTCAGGAAAGCTATGATAACTATTAGTATAGGCCCATTTTTACTCATGTCTTTGGCGGTCTCTTGCATTCTAGACAACCCGCTGGACTGCAGCTGCCTCGGCTGGCTACTGAGTAAGCCGTTCGACGTCCACGGACTTTGCCACGCGCCGGCAGACGTGGCAGGAGAGTGGCTTGAAAACATTGACCCTTCCGACCTTCACTGTCCGGCGGGAAGACGTCAGATCGTACACTAAGGCGACACATCTCATGATATTGTCGGCTACCAACGGATTTACGACTACGGAGTTGCCCCTCTTACTGGCCACAGCTTACGCACGTTTAAGAATGAGCCGAAGTCCTGTTACACTAACAACAATCACTTAATCACTTGCGGCTACCAACCGATACTTCTTGCAGTCGAGCGTGTGGAACCATTTAGTAGATTTAGTAGATTTAGTAGAACTAATTAGTAGATGCGAATGTTTAGAGATATGCGAGTATGCAATACTTGCTGTTTACGAGACTTCTGATTACACAATTACTGCACGAAACATGTAATATTTTGATAGAATTTAATTTTGAAGTTCCAACAATAAAATTGTATTCCTGAGTTTGAAATTATTGTTGTTTTTTTATA